TTATAATTATAAATTTATAATATTATATAATATTATAATTATAAACTATTGCATTGCCCCTCTTTTTTAACTTTTAGTCAAGACCTACATATTGCAGCAAAATTAAACTATGTTTAATATAATTCGGCGATGATTATGAAGATGCATAGTAACTAATTTTTGTATTTTTCTTCTTAGCATCCATTTCTTCCATGAAATAAATCCAAATTAATCCTCCTGTCATTTGCCTTTTTAGACCTTCTTCCCTTGCCATGTTTAGAGATACAAATCCGCTACTTTAGCATAAATTCCAAACCCTCTCACACACTGCCACGTGCACTCTCAGCTTTTCCACTGCTATTCCCCTCACTACCAAAAACGACGACTCTAAAAACAACGTAACGGTCTCTCTCCAACAATCACCCGTCTCTTCTTATTCCCATGTTCTCTCCTCTCTCCAATTTTTTCTTTTTTTACTCCTTCCAAAATCCCTAATAAATCCAGGAATCTGATTCATTCGTTTTTCTCTCAGATCTCGGATCTGAGTTCCAGGATTCAGAGGAACAGGTGGAGTGTTAATTAGTAGTACCTGATTTAGATTCAGATCGATCTACGAATTAATGGCGACTCTCCAGAAATTCAAGCTACTAGCCACGCAGTGCACGATAGCAGGAAGTCCGGGGAGAAGCCCGAGCGCAAGTCCTGTCATCCACATCCGCCGACGCAAAACTCTCCGTATGCTTCTCAATCGTTCGTCTGCTTCAGAGCGCCGCCGATTCGGCCGTTGCGATGTCCAGGAGAAGGTTGTGGATCGGTCTCCGGAAAAAATCGCTGCTACTGAAACCAGTAACAAGAAGAGCGGCAGTAAGAGAGAAGGGAAGGGGAGAAGGAAATTAAAGGAGCTTTTTGTGTCTTCGCCGCCGTTTGAACAGAGGGAGAGTAAGAGTGGAGTGGGTGATAGTGAAGGATTGTTACCGGCTCCAAGGAGTGTAAGTGAAGGCCCGGCGGCGCGGCACGGCGGCTCTCTGAGGCAGATAACAGGGGCCTTTCGGTATAGATTACTGAGGAGAGCTTGGCGACCTGTGCTCGTCACAATCCCTGAGTAAATTAATTAAAAATAATAACAATAATCTGTGAAAAATTGTAGGTTTGATTCTAATTTTTGAAGCTCATTTGTGTAATTTTCAATTTTGGTTTTTATTCAACCTTCTTTATAGCTTTTCTTTTAATTTATGTAGTATTTCTGAATATGATCTTCGAAAATAAATCAGAATTTCCATAGCCCTTTGCTTCTAGTCTGTAACAAGCGCCAGAAAACCACAGAAACGGTTACGGTTACGGTTATGGTTACGGTTATGGTTACGGTTACTTATCAGATCTTGCATAATTAATATATTATCAAAAAAATTAATATATTAAGTAAAATTTATTATTTTATTATTTAATAAAAAAACCCCAAACATTAGAGATATGTTTTTTATTTAAAGATATATATTTTATAATTTAATATAATTTAAATTATAAAAATAATTTTTCATGTTATGCAATAACAAGAGAATGCATTCAAAATCATAAACTTACTTAATGTGGATGATCATAAGAGCAGAGAAAATTAGTATTGAAATATGCATAAACTCATGATAAGGATTAGCCTAAAAAGAAGAAAAAGAAGAAGAGGAAGAAGAAGACATACTTTCCAGCAATTTTCGGTTCAATTTTACTTACCCTACCCACTCTCCAATTACCTATCTACATTTCTTCTTTTTATTTTTTTTTATTTTCTGAAAAATAGGAGGCTTTTATTATTGATTTTGATATGCCTAACGCGAAGAGGTGGGGTAATGGTGATTGAAAGTGCCATGAGTGATGAGGACAAGCATGAGACAGAAAAAATCAGAAAATAAATAATATTCAGTATAAAGTCCGATCGCCCACTAAAATTTAAGTTGCATAATTACGCTAGACATTTTTGCATTTATAATCTCTTTGAACTTATTGTGTATTTGGGGTATGCCTACCCTTGCTCTTTATATTTTGTTGGCACATTTCATATTTTGGGAGGCTCTATATCATGATGTTTAGCACAATCTCACATTGTAATCATGCTTATTTGATTTACAAGTCATGATCCCTGCCCAATTCAAATTGTGAGCACAATCCAATCATTCATCTCGCTCCTTAGCCATTGCCTCTCCTTCCGACCTCTCCATTTTATTAATCACTTTTATTATTATTTTTATATATGAATCGCATATAATATAGATTATATAATATATAATAATTAATATAATACATAAGTTAAGAACATTATAAAAAAAAAAAAAAAAACCCTATAATTTATGAAAGTAGAATTCGTAATCTCAAAGTTATATGGCCTTAACCTCTAGTTCTTTGAATCAACCGATCTATCGCTTCACTGATTATGTGTCGGTATTATCAAAATTTATATCAAAGCTTGGACTAATTTGATAAATTGAGAAGTTGAGGGACTAAAGTGGCTGAAGGGTTTAATTAAAAGCTTCCCAAAAGTTTTAAGGGTTAAGAATGAGTTTTTTTTTTTTTTAATTCTTTTTATTTTTCTTTGAAACGAAGGAATAACTCTGCTGCTTTTGCATTCTTAATCCTGCGTTTAACATGCTCCGTGTTCCTCTGTTGCACTGTCTGCATCTGCATCCCAATACATGAGTTTATGACAGCTTTTTCCCAGACAGGTTCCTGATTTTGTAAGAAAAAGTTGTTCTAGTACATAATTTATCCCGATTCACAGGTTTTCCATAATGCCTTTCATCTCAGGTTTCTTCTTAGTCAATCTTCACCTATTTCTGCCCCTGCTAATTTGGTCTGCTCTGCCATCTTCTTAGATTCCGAAAATGTTGTCAGTTTCTCAATAATTAACTTCGTTTCCATAGCTAACAAATCCTGCATATTTAAAATAAACGCAAGAAATTTATATGCCAATTAATTTGTTAGTTTAGGGACAGGTACACTAGTAGTCCTAAAATTTGCAGTAAATGTTCGATTGAGCTATAAAACTTTTACGGGCTTTTAGTTGAGTTGGTTTTTTTTTTTGTAATAATTACCTATTTTGAAGGCTCTTTTGTTTAAGCCAAATAATAGTGATGTTATTTCAACTAATTAGATTAAGTTATTGACTCAACACATTAATTGAATTAATTTAAAATAATCTTTCCTCTCCCTCTCAAACCAAATAATAAATTTTCAAAAAGTACCAAGCTTTCTATAAAAAAAAAAAAAATGTCTTCTCTTAACACTAGCTAACATTTAGCCGCCCCAGGTAAAAGAACCTTGGTTCCGCCGCTTGCGAGAAATTGGGGCATTCCATTCTTAGACAACACTTCTCGTAAGCTCATACTTTGATTTAGTCTTTTCATTTCCTTTTCCATGTCTCGAGGTTCAAACCTTAACAAATAGTGTAAGACTTAAGAAAACATAAATATGCATTGACATATGTAAAGTTTAAGTAACAACCTCAAGGGCTCGGCCATGGAAGTCATTTTCAAATTTAATGTGAATAACTGAAAATTTTTTTCTTAGTTGTTGACCCAAATAAAAGAGGTTAGATTATATTGTTCGGTTTGACTTTTCTCATTCTTGGCATTGAAAAATTAATTGAATGACCAAATAATGCAGAATCATTGATTAATTACCCATTGAGTCTGCAAGCAATGTCTGACTTCATAAATTTGCTGCGTGCTCCACTGGCCCCCAGCCCCAAAGCTTTTATTCACACAGTCTGCAACTCTGCTGCAAATAATTTCTGATTTTGGTTTTCTGCAATGTAAAAACTATCAGAATCATAGACATCGTATTGATCATTTTCTTTAAAAAAGAAAAAAGAAAAAAGGAAAATATTATCAGAATCAAACGGCACAGTTTTGGTCGCAAAATCCTCTTGTTCACCTTCATTTACCGTCTGATCTTTGACTCCTGTGCTTCCTTTCTCTCTCTTCCTTATTTCTGTAAAATATAACTGAGCTATGGTGTGTACCTGCTTCAAAATTTTGCATCAAATTACCTCTAATAGCCCTGGCAAATGGCTGATTGGATCAAGTTTGGGTTGGGTTAACTCAGATAACGGGTTATATGAATTGAGTTATAAACGGATTGTGAGTTAAAAAAATTTAATTCTAACCCGACCTTATCAAGTTACGAGTTAACCTGTGAATTGACTTTATTTTCATTTTTTGTAATTATTTTTATTAATTTTTTTATATACAAATGAAATTATATATATCTAAATTTAATTAAAATATTATAACTCATTAATTAATACCAAGCATTTTATAATCTTAAGTCTTAACCACAAATATTTAAATTAAAAAAATCATAAAATTATAAATAATAATAAGTTAATTAACAATATTAAACTTAAAAAATTTAAATTTCTTGAAAAATAAAATTTTAATTTTACAATTATCTGGAAACATTATCAAGGGGTTTAAGTCTTTTTTTATGATGAAATTGTTCTTCCAACAATATCTTTTACTAAATTATTATGTTTATATCATAGTATCATATCTTTAATATTTTTAATTGCATTATCATTTAATTTATGATACTTGGTAATTAGATTAAATTCACATAATTTCTAGAATAATAAGAAATTATGATGAGTAAATATTCAAAATAAGTTCAAAACCATTTGAGTAATGGAAATGGGGTTGAAGAGTAAGAATTAATGAAAAGCGTTACCAATAAGAAAATTAATTAAAAATAACAATAATAAATAAAATAAATGGGTTAACCTATCAACTCGCGATTTGGCACTAACATAATCCGTGATTTGTATAGGTTGATATTATAAATTATCTACGAATTACCGATTGAAATATATAGACTCTAACTCATTTTTTATAAGTTGGGTTACGATCGGATGAACGGATTGAATGAATTTTCGCCACCCCTAACCTCCACAAAATGTAACATGAATAATTCTAATATTAACACTTCGTTTGCTAGTGTTATACTGATAAAATGTTTGTCTTTCATCATCTTAAAAACATATAAAATATTAATTAAAATTAATAAAATTAATTAAAAATTAAAAAATTATATTTTTAAATAAAATAATTCCTGAAAAAAGTATGTGCATATTACATATTGCCAGACTTTAAATATTTTAATAAAAAATAAAATAAAATATTTTATAAATTATCTTTTTTGTCTTAAGATTTGATCAAATTAGTCCTTTGTAGATTATTTTATCTAAATGTATATTATTTTATAATAATTATTTAATTTATTTTTATTATTAACCTATAGATAAAAATTACATGACTATAAGTCTAAGACATATTATTTTACTCAACTAAATAGAGTTCCTCTGCATCCTTTTAATATTTTATTTTATTTTATCTTTTAAATATTTTTTAATAAAAAAAGTATTTTAAATTAAATAATTTTATAAATAATGTAAATTCATAAAATATTATTATAAAATTAAAATATTTTAAAATAATATATTATATATTTCTTTATTAGATCGATCGACTTATTATTCACAAATATGTGAATTTCCTTAGAAAAATTTTGATATTATTTTTTTATCGGTATTTTTAAATAAATTTATTAATTATTATTTTTATTTAATTTTGTAACTAAAGTACAATATAAAGATATAAAGTAAAGATGATGAAGAATATTCGAAGAACGACAAATGGTGCTCACAAAGCCTAAATCGATACTGTGGGTTTTTGTTAGTGACCGAACCAAACCGGACCACCTCATCCGGTTGAGACACTATTTTTTTTTTTCGTACGCCGTTTCCAGTTTCCACGGGCCTCTACTGTGCACACGTACAACACCACTTAAAACGGTCGACAGTGAAATCTTCAACGTTCAACGTCATCGAAAGGATGAGATTCCTCGGCTGACATTTTTGACGCGGTACCGGGATCTTCCCTTGTTACGCGCCGCCATATTAACCCACGCGCTTCCCAACTTCTCTACAACGCCCCCACCCCGATCAACAACCTTTCTTGATTCTCCTTTTCTCTCCTTTCCTTTCTGCCTTTCCCTTTTTCCCTTTTCGAATCTCGTCCGTCTCTATACTTGTATATTCTGCCTGCGAGCCGTCTCTGTAGTTAAATTTCCCACTTTGTGGGTTAGATCTGAAGATCCGAACTGATTTTCAGGAGGTGGTTTTTGAATTTAATGAAAAGGCAGCATCTGATGATCGGTAGATGGGAGGAGTCACCTCATCGATCGCCGCGAAATTCGCGTTCTTCCCGCCAAATCCCCCTTCATACACGGTAGTAGCAGACGAATCGTGCGGCGGCCAGCTTTACATGCCGGAGGTTCCACGGAGGGACGATGTCGACGTTTTGAAGCTACGCACTCGCCGCGGAAACGACATCGTTTCGGTCCACATCAAGCACCCAAAGGCAGCGGCTACTCTTTTGTATTCTCACGGAAATGCGGCGGATTTGGGGCAGATGTTCGAGCTCTTTGTCGAATTGTCAAAACGCCTCCGCATTAATCTAATGGGGTAACTTTTTACCTTTTGGGTATTGAAAGCTTCTTCCTTTTTAATCTTCCTAAGGAGAGTTTGTTGAATATGTAGCTTGAGGTAACTGTGTTAGTTTTGGTGGGAGTATTGGTAGTATTTTATTTGAGGGTTCAGATTTTCTGAATGTTGCATGTTATTTGAATTTATTCATGATAAGCAAATCATAAATGGGTTGTCTATATGCATTAAATTTGAATCTGAAATAAGCTCAGAGATGTTACTTGTAGTTGCGAGGTCAATGCATATAGCTGGAAACTGGTGATTGTGGTTTTCGTTCGTAAGCTTTATTAATGATAAGGTATAGTGTTTACCCATGCTGTCGGAAGTTTACCCTACCAACTGTTTCCTCAACTAATAAACACATATCTATTGCCATCTATGCATACTGAACCGCAACTATTGATGTCAATTTCATGAAGTAATTTGTGTGATCTATGAAACCAAGGTTAAAATCTGTGAGATGAAGATTTCTTCTAAATCAATGAAGAAATTTCATGGTGACCTTAACCTTCTGAAGACAATGTGATTCTGTGAAAAAAGCTTCTTTCACTTTTGCAGGACTTTAGCAAAATAAATAAGAAAGTTTCCAGGAACATTTATCTTCAAAAGTTTTGGCACGTGAAATTAATGTCTAAACCCTGGATTGGGATAAAGTGTTCTCTTTGTTTTCTAGTCAAACTTTTTATTATATCTTTTAATTTTTGGATTATATTCCTAATTTTTGCCTCATTGATTTTCCAGGTATGATTATTCTGGCTATGGTCAATCAACTGGGAAGGTTGGTTGCTCAGATCCTCTTGTCTTTGTTCATTTTTGCAGCCTTAGCGATTTAGGTATCAGTACGAGTTTCAATTCCTTTAGATGATAGTCTGCTGACTTGTGAATTTCAAGGGATTGTTCTTCCTTCTATTGTTTGAGATTTCAAAATTTAGAGATAACTCAAAAATTCTAAGTTGGCATGGTTGCTTTCTTTTACCATTTTTTTTAGGCTTTTGGGTCTAGCAGTCCTCAGCATGATATTAGAGCTAATTTAACCTAATGATCTATAAATCAAGTCTGGAAGCAGTATTTGTTTAGCATTTAAGATTTAATAAAAGGAATATAGTTCAGCCTTAATCCAGCTTAAAGTGAGGGAGCATATTGGAGAACATATATTTCTTTAGTTTTTCCCTAGTAGGTTAAGCTCTTAAAATCTGTGGTTCTTGATGACATTATTTTTAAGTCATAATATCTAATGACTTGTTTCTAATTTTCTACTGCTTGGTAAGAATTTTATGATATTTGATGTTCTAACTAACCTTCACCCTCTTCTAATTTTACAGCCTACTGAATGTAACACATATGCTGACATTGATGCTGCATATAAATGCCTGAAGGAGCAGTATGGAGTTAAAGATGAACAATTGATACTATATGGTCAGTCTGTTGGTAGTGGACCCACGCTTGACCTGGCTTCACGCTTACCAAACTTGAGAGGTGTGGTTTTACATAGCCCAATTTTGTCTGGAATGAGGGTGTTGTACCCTGTCAAAAGAACATATTGGTTTGACATTTACAAGGTAAAATTCTGCCTTGTGGTACTCTGTCTTCCCTTTCCCTGATATATTGGAGATTATTGCTTACATTAGATTTTTTTCCCTTTGATTTTTTTGATTCTCAGAATATCGACAAAATTGGTTTGGTGAACTGTCTGGTTCTGGTAATTCATGTAAGTAATGTTTCTGTTATTTTGATATTCAGCTTCCCCTTCTAATTAATCAGTGTTATTGCCTTCCTCCACTCCCCCTTCTCCAGCAGTTCATCAATTTTTCTGGTCTGAGAAAATTGATAGGTTGTGTGTCAAGTAAGTGTTTTCTTTTACCAGCTAAACCTCTTTTACTGGCTTTTGTAATGACAGGTTTTCACCTGAACTGTATTTGAATGAAAATTTTTAAATGTTGATTTGAAGGAAGTTTATACTTAATACAAATAAAGATGTACTGAAGGGTCATAACATGTTAATAATGCTGATTTTGACTGTGAACAATCTTTATTTCAACAATTGTTCTTTCTTGTGCTTATTAATTGGAATTTATTGCATGAAAGTGATAGATAGCCAATCATACTCTAGGAAATCCAAAAGAAAGCTTCAATCAATCATTTTGCTAGAAATTAGTTTGGGTTTTTGAAAAGCAAATCTTTCCCTTAATAAGGAGAAATAGATTTAACTTGTCCTCTGTGATTTTCTAACAATCACATCAGAACTAGAAATAAGCCATAGAATCTATGCATTATCCCCACACCTCTTGATTGGGGTTTGCAAGATCCTGGGAATTGGATGGCAAAGCTTTCAGGTGAGATCAAAGGGAGACAAAGCTATTTCAAATTGTTTAGATGTAAATTTTGGTAACCAAATCAATTTGGTTTCATTTTCAGGGGACAGAAGATGAAGTTGTTGATTGTTCCCATGGAAAGCAGCTTTGGGAACTTTGCAAGCACAAGTATGAACCCTTATGGGTAAGTGGAGGAGGACACTGCAATCTCGAGCTTTATCCACAATTCATCAGACATTTGAAAAAATTTGTACAATCACTTGGCAAGTCAAAAGAAGCTGCAAATGGTTCTAAAAAGACAACAGTAGATTCAGACAGTCAGAGCAAACCATCTGAAAGGGAAACTACAGATAGTTTTCAATTGGGGTCTGACCTTCCAGAAATGTCTAGAAACAGTTTAGATAGTCGACTTGAGAAGTCTAAGAAGGCAAAAAATAAGCCTGAAAAATCTCGCATGAGCACTGACCGCTTTGATAGGTTTAGGAGAAAAAAGGGCTTAGTCTGGTGACATACACAAAGGGCATCTTAAATAAATTACGAGCATTCATCCACTGAAGAAGGTAATTCACCTTTGCCACCAGCTTTTGTATTATTGCGTTAAAGCCCAGCATAAATTATCTGATTGTGTGTGTAATTTCTCATAAATGTTATTATTTCTTGTATGTTCCTCAGAACATAACCCAGGTCAAGTAAGATCTGATACTTGAATTCTTCTGTAAAAACAGTAGCCTTATTTGAAATGAAAATATTGTACTATTATTTTGCCTCAAAGTCTGTAGAACTTGTCCATTGCGTCTTCAATCTTGCTTGCTTTAGGAATATATTTAGAAGAAAGATTTTGCGTACTTCAACATGTTGTTTATTGAGGAGGTTATAATTTCTTAGCACGCAAAGATGAGGTTACCTTTAGAATTTACTTTTTGAGATACAGATTGACATTCATCAGGATTTCTTCATGTCCTTTGTATCTAGAGCATAACTTGATTATTTGATTTCTTTTTGCGGTTCAAAACCATGAACAGGGTTCTGCATTCATTTAGGCCAGGTTTTTGGTTTATGAACACGAATGATGTTAGTCTAGACTGGCTAACTTCATTAGTTGATTTCTGGTTTATACCGAACATACACGTTAACTGGCCTCATGCAATCAGCCCTCAACTGCATCATCAAATTGTTGGCATCTTGTTTGTTTTGTCAAGTGCCAATTTAACTTACACGAAGACACCGGTGATGAGGGCAATCGTCTCCTCTTCAGCTGGTCTACCTAATTTCATTTTTATTTTTTTGAGGTAGGCAAATATAT